AAGGGGTTGTTGAAGAACTAGGATCATTAATCCATGTTCTTACTGTCAAAGAAAAAAATACGTAGAAGGAGTTGAAGAACCCTTGTCAAGCATTGAACATGCACTTATTCTTCTAATATAACTTATTTGTCATATTATAATGTTCTAGTGTAGATGGGAAGGTTATATGTTTAGTGAACATTGGCGAAACAAGCATTCCAAATCATTTATCATAAACTCAGGGCTATATTTAACAACAGTTGTCTACGCTTTTTCAACTATTGTGATATGGGTTTTCTGTAGTAGTGTTCATCTACGCTTTCTTAAACAATAATCCTTTTGTGGCTCATTCATCCTTGAAGCAAATCTAATCTCCATTGAATCAAGGTGCAAGAATTAAATCCACGAAAAATCAAGCTTCAATTGTCTAAGAACAAACGCAGTCTTAAACGATTCCTTCAATTTTCACATCTTCAAACTCAAATTCACACATAGCGTTTAGACATGAAATGATGATTATATAACCACGGTTGTATCTTTCAACCGTAAGTATATCATATCAAAATTTTAATAAGTAAATAAAAGAAAAATGTTTGCTCGTTAAGTAATAGATGTCATCACAATCCTTCGTAGCACCGTGATAACTATGACGTTGTTGTATATACATTTTGTAGTAGTGAGGACGTTACATACTAATGACATCAAACTTAACGAATAAATAAAAATAAATAATCTAATTTCTTTATATAAAGTCTTGAAGAAATTATGTTTAAATATTTAATCACGACTATATGAAATTGATCTCTAGAAATTCCATTTTTTAGAGTTCTTTTGCCTCCAAATATCTAACAAGTTTACATAAGACAATATTATGCATACATGCGTGTATCAGTGTATGGCTATGTCAGTGCTTTATAAGTAATAATAAATAATGATGTAATTTTCTAAAATGAGTAAGGGCGAGAGTGAAAGGGAAACTCAATTTCAAAAATGTGAAAAGAGAGGAAGGGAAAAAGTGTAAAAAATGAAAGAAAGAAGTGGTAAGGTTCAATTAATGTCAAATCTGACATTTTCTAATTTAACTAAGGGTGTTTATGTATTTAGTAGAGTCTCATGCTAATAATATTTTTATTTTAAATTTAATTTAATTAAATTATTATATTAAGAAATAGAGACGAGCTAGAAAGAAATAAAGAATATAATATTTATATTATATTCTTCAAGATATATCTTTTACATTGCTATATGAATTATGTTTATGTTTGTGACATGTATATTGTAATCCTCTTCTACTTATAATTCATGAACATCCATATTAATTTATAAAAAGAGCTAACAAATGCTCTAGAATTTGTTTAAGAAATAAAAAGAGGGTAACAGTCATATAAAAGTTGATATATTAATTACTTCATCAAGTATTGGATTTATATTTCAAATTTCTTTTTATGGATTCTTTAAACAATATAGATAAGGCACTTGTTAACGATTCTAATTTAAATTATTTATAACACTATTCTAGATAAACTTGCTGACTTATGCAATCTTAATTACGGCAGATTCTATTTTAATAATCAAAATATATATATTGACTCTTAGATCTGTCAATTTATAAAGGATTCTGCCATAATTTGACCTTTGCATAGCCACAAAAATTTGAGGCTTGCCGACTCAAAAATTCTACAAGCATGTGTTATACTCACAAAATTTGCCTAATTTGTTTTCAATAATTCAACTTAAAAAACCTAGTAATGGGATGAAACAAGACAAACACTATACACTAGTTTATATTCTTTAATTTGAACGTACTTGGCAGGGAACTGCATGCAAAATATCCCAATCACAATTTCTTTCATACATATATACAAAAAATAAGTCTATCAAATATGTATTTTCAAAGAAATAGCCTGGCAATATGTATGTAGTCCCCTATCCTTTTTCTAACTCTGCTACTACTTTTTTCTTCCTTTTCTTTAAGAAAACTTAACTTTTATGACATAATTAATTAGTATTCAAAATTAATTTTGTCTCTTATAATTTAGGGTTAAATAAGTTTGTGATTTCTATAAATATTTTAAATTTTTATTTTTAATTCTTTTAAAAAAAATTTGAAACAATAATTATCTTGAAATTTTTCGTCTCCAATTTTAATTCATATCATCTATTTATTCTAATAGAACTTGACATGACATACCACATTAAAGTCAACACTACAAAAACGAGATAGATTGCGGGTTTTGAAACCCCCTTTAAATAACTGATAAACAATAATAAAATAAAAGGACTTTTTCTTCCTCTTCCCCTCTCTTTAAATTGCAACTGTATTTATCTATCAAAAATAATATATCAATAAAAAAAATATCAGGTATTTGAAAGGTGCAATGATTTGAGATCTTTCAAGCTAATTCATTCTCATCTCTTGACTTTTACCTTTGTTACCGATGACTTGGTTGTCCCAAAAGCCGCAAATTTTTTTTTGATAAACATATCACTGATATTCATTTGTGGGTTTGTGTCTGATGTGTATAATATCTCAACAGTTTTGAAATTATTTGCTATAAGTAGGATGTTTATAGCAATTGTGGAGACATTGTAGATTTTTTTTAATAAGCAATGGATTAAACCAATTATGACCCGCACAAGAACAGGGAAATTGACCAAATCGAATAACTACAAGAAGGAGAATATTTGAGTCAACCACAAACCATTTCCAAGTAGTAAATTTGATGTTTGAAACACACATCTCCACACTAGTATTGACGCCCTTGAAAATCATCACATTGCGCAATCTCCAAATGTTCCACGACACCTCCAAGCAAACTGTACAAAGCAGTCTTCGATCCTTCTTTGCCTTCACTTTGTCCATATTGTACACCAAAAAAGTTAATTCCTCCTCCATAATACCTGCTCCAGGACCCAATCATTTTAACACTTCAGTCCATATCTTCTTGCTCAAGCTGCAGCAGTTAAACACGTGAAAAAGAGATTCGTCGACTTCATAACAAAAGACGCACAACTTGTCTCTTTCATTTGTGATAATGTTTCTGTTGAACAAGAGCAGCCTTGTATGAAGCTTGTTGAAAACCCACCTGTTTTTGATGTTATGCTTGTGAGAGATGTAGTTTCTTGGACTGGTTTGACAAAAAACCAACACTAAGTTGAAGGCACCAAGCCTAAAAGTATGCATCACATTAAAATAGCGCTTAGACTTTAACGGGTGTAGCGATTAGGGTGTATTTGTGTGCTGGTGAGGACACGTTGAATTATTCCAAAATGGATGTAGCAAGTGTTTTCACTACTACAAATAATATATTTTATGACAAAACTTTCACCTCATCCTACCAAAAATTGAGGTCACAACTCAAGGCACGCCATATTTTATATTATTTTTAATAAATACCACATATTTCCTCGACTACAAAATAAAACTGAGGGGAAAAGTATTTCATAACACACTTCAAATCCTAGAATCAACAATTTATGTTTTAATTTCTTTAAAAGTGGTGTCTTTCTTTTTATTTTATTTTTAACTTTTAAATTAATGATTTATTCGATACTTTGGATAGTTCGTTTGCCAAAGTGGTTAGAGGTGTTGATCATAAGCTCGACGGAAAGGTCATGGGAGGAGGATCCTGCACAAAATTAGAGGTGGAAGATGAATGGTTTAGGAGGTTAAAACGAATGAGAGTGGGTGAAGTCATGGAAGATGGAAACACGTTCAACATTCAGAAGGTTATTTATGAAGAAGGTTATTTTAACATTAAGGCTACTCCCTTGGGAGCATCCCTGTGCTTGTTGGAAGATACTTCTGGTGGTGACATAGAGGAGTTTGTTAAGGAGTCTAGTGAATGGTTGGATATTTGGTTCAGAGACATTCACATTTGGAATTTGGAGGAGATTGGTAGAGGTAGGTTTGTGCGGGTAAAGTGCTATGGTCTACCTTCAGTCGCCTGGAGTGATAATAATTTTCGGTTGATTTATTCAAGTTTGGGAACATTTGTCAAGTGTGATGAGAAGACTAGGAATAAAGATTGTATGAACGTAGCAAGATTACTACTTAAAACAAGATTAGGGGTCATCCTGAACAACTTGGTTGATGTTGAAGTGAACAACCACACTTTTTCATTAACTTTTTCTGAAGATTTCTCGTGCGGGCGTGGAGCTTCTTTGTTTGGCGAAGAAGACGAGGTGATAGATTCTGACGATTATGATTCCTCAATTCCTTCAGACGTTGATGGCGCGTGGGAGGTGCCTGAAGAGGAAGAGAGTGGTGAATCCAATTTCTCGAATACCGAGCCAGAAGAAAGAGTCCCATCTGTTAAGATTCAAGGTCCGGACTATGATTTCTCTGTGTCTGATAATGTGTCTGTTGTTGGGAATAGCTTAAGGCTAAGTGTGGCAGATGATGGTTCAAGAGGGAGCAGCCATAAGAATCCTGCTGCTCTTTATAGTTCAGAAGGAATCAAATCAATTAACCATGTGGTTGACTTAGAACTAAACCAGAACAAAGAGGTAAATGAGTTACTCGTCCTTAATGGTGAGTTGGTGGTGGATTTGGGGCTGCCTATGCCAATTAATGGGCCTTCAGGAGGAGTAATCGGGCCTGCAAATAGAGGTAAAGTCAAAAAGAAAAAACTTCTTCATGAGTTCTATAATTGCATTAAGATCCCTTACACCCCCTCTTATTTTTCCATCCTGCTTCTCACGGCTCCGAAGGGGAATCTTGGATATGTGTCGAAGGGTGTTGTTAGGGAGGAAAGGAAGAAGAAAACGTTGAATAGAGACATTTCTGAGTCAAGCTCTGCTCTTTTGTGTTGTGAATCGATAACTGACACTGATTTGGAAAGAGGAAATTTGAGATGCAGAAGGGCCATTGAAGATGTTCCATCAAAATTGAGTAATTATCTAAAGGAATTAGGTGTTCAGGGAGATGATGAGGAGGGTATTGGGCGTATCCTGGGGAAATTGGATAAGGAAGATAAGGAATTTAGGTCAGGCAAGAAGGATGTAGCTACATGTGGTCCATGAATATAGTTTCTTTCAATGTTAGAGGATGTTGTAGTTCTTTGAAGAGGAGGAGAATTTCTCAAATTCTGCAGAGAGGTAGTGCTAACATCTGCCGTATTCAGGAAACCAAGATAATTAAGATGGAGGCTGGTATTGCTTATAGCCTGTGGAGGAATAATGATATGGACTGGACAACTCAGAACTCGTCTGGTAGATCTGGTGGTATCATTACCATGTGGAATACTACTAAAATCACAGCTTGCTCAAGTTTTTGTGGTAAAGGTTTCTTAGGATTGCACATTGTTTGGAATAATCAAAGTTTGATTGTGATCAATGTTTATGCCCCATGTGGATAAGCTGAAAAGAGGAATCTGTGGAGAGATCTGATTAAAGTTAAGAGTAATTTTTCTGGTGTTGGTTGGATTGTGGGGGGGGGGGGGGGGGGGGGGGATTTCAATGTGGTGAAAATGGGGAGGAAAGGAAAGGTTTAAGTGGTAACAGTAGTAGGTATATGAAGGATTTTATTGAGTTCATCGAAGCATTGAATGTGATGGATCTTCCGGTTTTTGGAAATTGGTTCACATGGTTCAATTCTAATGGTAAGAGCAGAAGCAGACTGGATAGAATTTTGGTTGATGATCGGGTTATTTCTTTGTTATCCTTGAAGAATCAAGTGGTGGGAGATAGAGATGTGTCGGATCATCGGCCTGTGTGGTTGAAGTCCAACTTCGTCAATTGGGGGCCTAAACCTTTTAGGACCTTTAACTGCTGGTTCTCTCACAAGGAATTCGTCCCTTTTGTCATGAAATCGTGGAACTCGTATCACTTCACAAGATCTTCCTGCAACATCTTGACTAAGAAACTTCAAGCCCTTAAAACTGATCTCAAGAATTGGAACTACAATGTTTTTGGATGGCTGGAGCTAAAGATTGAGGATAATATTGAAAAGTTCAACAAGCGGGAGTTGGATTCTGTTGTGGACTCTGAATCCTAAGTTGCAGAATTGGATAGGGAGAGGCTGCGATACTAGGAGGAAATGTGGAAGAACCTTAGGCTCAAAGAAATTATGTTGTCCCAGCAATCACGGATAAGATGGTTGCAAGACGGGGATCTAAACACAAAATTTTTTCACGATTCTTTAAAATCTAGGAATCGTTCGAATCGTTTATCAGCTGTTAGAGCGGCAGGTAGAATTGAGGAAGAGCTTGAGGGTATTAAGTCTGAAGCCGTGAAGTTTTTTAAGGAAAAATATCTGCAAATAGACTCGTCTAAGAGGTTCAACAAGGAGTGTCTGTTTTTTAAAGTCGATTTCGCTAAAGCTTACGATTGTGTTGACTGGTCTTATCTTGACGGTTTGCTTGTTAAGATGGGCTTCGGTATTAATTGGTTAAAATGGGTTTGTGGCTCTATGTTCAAAAGCTACGTGTCGATTCTAATTAATGGAAGTCCATCGAAGGATTTTAAGGTTGGCAGGGGGCTGAAGCAAGGCGACCCTTTAGCTCCGTTCTTGTTCGCCATCGTAGCAGAGGGATTGTCAAGCTTGGTGAGATCTGCGGCTGCCGCTAATTTGATAACATAATTCAAATTGGAGGTAACCATCATCGCCACTCCTTTTGGAACCAGGTGTTATCTTGCCTGAGGAATAAGCTCTCAAATTGGGTTAGGAGAAATTTGTCAATAGGAGGTAGAGTATCTCTCATTAATTCGGTTATAGCTAATCTGCCTATTCATCACTTGGATTTTTTCAAGGCTCCCAAAAAAGTAGTGAACAAAATTATCGCAATCCAACGTCGATTTTTATAGGCTAGGAATTCCAACAAAAAATTCATCTCTTGGATATCTTGGAACTCGGTCTGCAAACCAAAGGATCACGGAGGTCTTGGAATTAAACACGTAGTTCGCTTTAATTGTGCTCTTATAGCAAAATGGTTGTGGAGATTTCAAAGCGATGGAAACGAAATTTGGAGGAAGACCCTCACCTTCAGATAAGGTAATCTGAGTATTAAGGCATAAACTTTTGCCGATGTTGGTAGTTTGAAATCCGACTCTCTTTGGTTGAAGGATACTTTGTCAAGCTCTGTTTATGATCCCCATGTTGACTTCTGCAAGTACACGGTTTTCTCTATTGGAGAAGGTCATGGTGCGGCTTTCTGGCAGTCAAATTGGATTGGAGATTTGCCACTTAAAAGTATATTCCATTGGTTGTTTCAGGGTTGTTCCAAGCATGCGTCGTATGTCAGTGAGATAGGAGCTTGGGAGGACAGGCAGTGGGTTCGGAAAATTAGAGAAACGATGATCGACGCAGGATCCCATATAAAACCAGAATGGACCGATTGTAGTAATATGTTGGAAAATGTTTCAGTTAACAACAATGAGCCCGATAACTGGAAGTGGTTACTTCACGACTCAATTTCGTATAAGATCCTTTGGAAAACGGTGTTACCGGCGAAAGTTCAAACTTTTAGTTGGAGGATGGCGCTTGATAGGCTGCCTACTAGATCAAATTTAATGAAAATAAAGGTGATTGATAATGCCCAACACTTGGACTGTGCGTTTTGTACACGGAGTTACGAGGACGTCTCCCACCTTTTTTTCACGTGCATCAAATCCTCGTTGGTTTGGAAAAAGATTTGTGACTGGGTGGATATAGAGATCATCTCGGAGGCTTGTTGTAATCTTCATGCGAAGATTTGGAACTCGAGTCTTAGTGGTCGTTGTCAAGCGAACAGGATCAATTCTATATGATTTATTACTTGCTGGATTATATGGAGGACTAGAAATAACATAATATTCAATAATGAAACCATTAAAGTAGATGACATTGTTTTCGAAATTAAATTTTCCTCGTGGAATTGGTTGATTTTAGGAAGAGAGGAGAGTAGGCAGTGTAGATTGTATGAATGGTTTAAATTCCCGCTCGACTTTTTGTAATAGTTTTGACTTTGGAGGTGGTTGTTTTCTTGTTGGTTTGAGATTTTCTTAATCTCTTTTAATATTTTCTTATAAAAAAACCATTGGATTAAATTATCATGTTTTACTATAAAAGCACTCGTTAGAATAGCATCTAAAATTGTTTTATGAAAATCTAGCTAGATAGGGGGGACTCCCTAAGCTATTCAATATCCAAAGCTACTTAGAAGAGCATCTAACCAAGATAGGAATTTGGAGGATAATGGTCATTAGAGGGAGGGTTCATGGGTTTGGGAAGTGCAGCTCAGCAGTGGTGATGAAGAAGTAGAGTCAATGATCACAGAAGATGTGGAGAAATTGAGGATAATTTTTAAAGATATTCCATTATCTAGAGGTAAGCAAGATGAGTTCGTGTGGTGTGACTGTGCATGTAAGGCTTTTTCTTTACAATCCTATTACAAACGGATGATGCATGTTGGGGATATACCAGAGTTGGATCCAAGCATGAAAGTGTTCCTTGATTTGATCTGGGAAGTTAAAGTCCCTTCGAAGATCAAGGTGTTTGCTTAGAGATTCATGCTAGATAGGCTGCCTACCAAGGTTCAGCTCATAAAATGCTCCAACATCCAAAATTCAACAAACAACAAGTGTACTTTCTGCTCAGGTGATGATGAAAGCTTGATCCATATTTTCTTCTATTGTCATGTTTTTGTTTCTGTCTGGAAGCAGGTGTTGCATTAGATGGATAGAACATGTTCTTCCCTGGAGGATCCAAGCCAATTCTTTTTGCAGTTCTATCACTCTTTTAAACGAAGTATAAGGAAAAACATGGAATGCACAATTTGGTGTTTATGGAGAATGAGGAATGAGTGTTTTTTCAATAATAAGGTGTGTGATATTGGTGATCTGATATTTAAGCCAGTTGGAAAGTATATGGGCAGAGGTATCTGCACAAGTCTTGAGGTGGAAGATGAATGGTTATTAAGGTTAAAACGTATGAGAGTGGGAGTAGTTCTGGAGGATGGAAACGCGTTCAACATTCAGAAAGCTATTAACTAAGAAGGTTTCTTTAACATTAAGGCAACTCCTATGGGTGCATCCTTGTGCTTATTGGAAAATACATCCGGTGGCGATATTGAGGAGTTCGTCAAAGAGTCTAGAGAATGGTTGGATGTGTGGTTTAGTGATATTCGCACTTGGGATCAGGAGGCGATTGACAGAGACAGGTTCGAATGGGTAAAGTGTTATGGTTTACCCTGTGTTGCTTGGAGTGATAACAATTATCGGTTGATCTCTGCAAGTCTGGGATCGTTTGTTAAGTGCGATGAGAAGACTAGGAATAAAGAATGCCAGGACATAGCGAGATTCTTGATAAAAACGATTTTATGGGGTATCCTGAATAAAAAGATTGACTTGAAGTGAATAGCCTTATTTTTTCTCTATCTCTCACTGAAGATGTTTCATATGGGTGTGATACCTTGTTATTTGGTGAAGAAGATGAGTTAATTGACTCAGTTGATTTTGATTCGTATGGCCCTTCAGACATTGATGGCACGTGGGAGGTGCTTGAAGAGGATGAGAGTGGGGAATCCAGCTTCTTGATCAATGAGCCAGAAGTGAGAGCCCCTACTGATAAAATTCTAGGTTCAGATTATGATCACACCTCATCTGATAATGTGTCAGTAGTTGGTAACAACTTAGGGTTGAGTGTCATAGGTGGTGATTAAAGGGAGCCACGTTGGGAACTTTGCTGGTCTTTTTAGTTCATGAGCTGGTCTCAAAATAGTTCAACCGGTTGACTTCGAACTGAATCATAACTTTGTGGAAAACGAAAATTTTGTCCTAAATGGAGAGTTAGTTGTGGATCTGGGGCTGCCTATGCCACTTACTAGGCCTCCAGATGGAGTAGTTGGGCCTGCAACTAAAGGAAATGTCAAAAAGAAAAAAATCCTTCATGAGGTCTACAACTGTATTAAGATTTCATACACCCCCTCTTATTTCTCCACCCTACTTCTCACGGCTTCAAAAGAGAATGCAGGAACTTTATTGAGGGATGTTGATAGGGAGGAAAGGAAGAAGAATATGTTGAATAGAGATATCCTTGAGTTTTGTTCTGACATTTGTGTTGTGAATCAATTACTAATACAGATGTGGAAAGAGGAAACATGCGATGTCGTAGGGCCATTGAAGAAGTCCCGTCCAAGTTGGGTAACTATCTGATGGATTTAGGTGTTCAGGTAGATGAAGAAGATGGGCTTGGGCGTATTCTGAGGAAATTGGATAGGGAGGACAAGGAAGTCAGATTAGGCAAGAAGGTTGTTGCTACCTGTGGTCAATGAATATTGTTTCCTACAATGTTCGAGGTTGCTACAGCTCTTTGAAGAGGAGGAGAATCTCTCAAATTCTGCAGCGAGGTAGCGCAGACATATGCTTTATTCAGGAAACTAAAATTACTCTCATGAAGGATGGTATTGCTCATAGAATTTGGAGGAATACTGATTTGTATTGGTCAGCTTTAAATTCTTTTGGTAGATCTGGTGGAGTCCTTACCTTGTGGAATAGTTCAAGAATCACAGCCCTCTCCAGTTTTCGTGGCACAAGTTCGTTAATGCGAAAAGGTATTTTTCAGGTGTTGGTTGGATTGTGGGGGAGGGGGACTTTAATGAGGTGAAGAATAGGGAGGAAAGGAAAGGCTTAAGTGCTAACAGATGTAGGAATATGAAGGAATTCTGCGAGTTTATCGAAGAAATAAATATGACGGATCTTCCGATGTTTGGTAACCGGTTTACGTGGTTCAACTCTAATGGTAAGAGTAAAAGTAGACTGGAGAGATTCTTGGCAGATGATCGTCCTATTTCTTTGCTATCTCTGAAGAATCGAGTGGTGGGAGATAGAGACGTGTTAGATCATCGACATGTGTGGTTGAAGTTCAATTTTGTCAATTGGGGGCCAAAACCGTTCAGGACATTTAATTGTTGGTTCTCCCAAAAATATTTCATCCCTTTTGTTAAGCAGTCGTGGAACTCGTACCAATGTTCTAACATTCTGATTAAGAAGCTTCATGCTCTGAAATATGATCTCCAG